ACATAGTTGGTTGCAAATGGGTTTTCAAGCTTAAACTGAAGCATGATGGTACAATTGAGAGGTACAAAGCAAGGCTAGTTGCTAAGGGTTTCACAAAAATATATGGGATAGATTTCTTAGACACTTTCTCTCCAGTGGCTAAGATTAATTCAGTAAAAGCATTATTAGCCATAGCTGTAGTGAAAAACTGGACCCTAGAGCAGTTGGATGTTTCCAATGCTTTTCTGAATGGGGATCTACATGAAGATGTTTATATGCAGGTACCTCAGGGAATTGAATTACCACATGAAAGTCCTAAGAGGATGGCTTGTAAGCTAAAGAAGTCTTTATATAGTCTTAAACAGGCCTCATGGCAGTGGTTTGCCAAGTTAACTGGTTTCCTGTTAAAGAGCGGATTTTATCAATCAGCCTCAGATTATTCCATGTTTACTAAGTGGGTTCATGGAAGATTTATTGTCCTGCTTGTCTATGTAGATGACATAATCTTGACTGGAGATGCTCAGAGGGATATAGACCGGGTGAAAAGCTCTTTGAGCAAAGAATTCAAGATCAAACTACTAGGCCTTTTAATATACTTCTTGGGACTAGAGGTAAATAGGATTGCAGAAGGATTAATGGTTTGTCAAAGGAAATATTTTATGGAATTATTTTTTGAAACAGTATATCTAAATGCAAAGGGATGCCAGTCACCATCAGATCCAAAGATCAGTTGACAGCAACTCAAGGAACTTTACTTGATGATCCAGAACAGTACAGAAGGTTGGTTGGTTGGGATGCTCCATTACATTAACATAATCAGACCTAACTTGACGTATTCAGTGCAGCAATTGTGCTAGTTTCAAAAAAAGCCTTACTCAGATGATTTAAAAGCAGCCTACAGAGTGCTAAAATATCTAAAATCATGTCCTGGTCAAGGTATCTACTACAACAATAAGGCAGATTTGAAGCTTGTAGGGTTATGTGATTCAGACTGGGCCAGCTGTCCTGGCAGCAGGAGATCAACTACAGGGTACTGTACTTTCCTTGGAAGCTCCCTCCTAACCTAGAAGGCCAAGAAGCAAACAACATTTTTCAGGTCATCATCTGAAGCAAAATATAGAGCATTAGCTCTACTGGTTTGTGAGATTGACTGGCTAAGGGTGCTGCTGGGTGAAATGGATGTCAAGATACCTCTTCCCGTTGTTGTATACTGCAATCCATATTGCCGAGAATCCTGTATTCCATGAAAGAACCAAGCACATATAGATCGGCATGCATGTTACAAGAGAAAGATTGAAGACTGGAATGATCAAGTTGTTCCATGTAAGTACAATCAATCAACTTGCTGACATATTCACTAAAGGTTTGGACAGGAATCGACTGAAGGATCTTCTGGACAAATTGGGAGTGAAGAGACCACTCACAACTTGAAGGGGGTGTCAACTGACTTGAAGAATCTTGATGCTGGAAGGATTGCAGACTGAAACACAGTGCAGGAGAAGAAGAAGTAAAACATAGTCGTTTGTTTCTAGTTAAATGAAATGAGAGTGAAACTGTGTCGTTTATGCTTAAGCTCTATTAGCGTTATTAAATAGTATTTTGATTTGTAATAGGCTAGTAAGAGACAGCCAAGTGGTTGTTTGTACTAAGCTGATTTCTTCAGCTAATATATATATTGCAACAGAGCAACCCCTGCCGCTTTGAGGGTTTTGCCACTTACCCTAGCAAATTCTCCATACTCTATGAGACTTCTACAACGATGACCGCCAACAGAGTCGAAAAATTCGCGAGGTAGATCAGAGAGAGTGGCATAGGCGGAGGGAGAGGGTTTGGGATGTGTCCAGGACACAGGTAAGTTTTGGTAAAAAAATTAATACATCCCTATATATATTTATGTAAGAGATAGAATATTCAAATTCATCACATTGATATAGTATAAAAAGCATTTTACAATTAGAATGAAGCTCAAGTTTTTTTATTTGATTGATATAAAATTAATTTGAAATAAATCTCTATTTTGGTTATTTTTTCTCAATTATCCTATTCAATTTTGTCCAAGAACTATGAAGTCTAAACAGAAATCTCTGCTACTAGGCTCTCTCGTTTCTAGTCCGCTAGTTTCCATTTAATTTTAATTTTAATTATTTATATATTAAAAAGTGAACGCACCTAGTTTTACAACCGGCTCCGCCATGTGAGATCGGAGAGCAACTAAACATATTTTTCAAACTCTGTTTTTACCACACACAAAAATGCCAAACCAGCCGTAATTATATATGACGAATAAACAAACAAGGATTCCCATCCCAATGAGGGAAGAAGACGAGTCAATGTCGTCGTTTCTTTTCTCTCAAATAATAATAATAATTCCTTCGATAGCCACCAAATCCAGCCATATGTAGCTATGTGCCGATTTTCCATTTCCTTTGTTTTTATTGTTATTGTATTCGTAAAACAGAAGTGGCTGGCTGGATTACAGCTATCATCCACGTACATTCGCCGCTCGTTTAAACATTTCTTTTCCTCCATAGTGAACTGAGCCAATAAAATAATCATCATTCCTAATTATTATGAAATGGAATATTATATTAACTATTCCCATCTTGATTTGGGGGACTTACGTGCACGCACACCGCATCTTTCTTCTTCTCTTCCCAATCTCCCTTCACGGCCAGGCCAGCTATTCATTATTGGACTACTCTTCTTCTTATTATTATTTTATTACATTTCACAATTCTTGATTTCCTGCTACTGCTAGGACAATTACTGGTAAAGTGTTATTATAATTTATAATAATAGATAAAAACAATTATTTTAAAAGCATTGGATCCTATGAGAGATTCATGAGGAGGAGCCTATTGCATCTTTTATCGTTAATTGTTGTTAGTTGTTACTAAACTACATAATTTATTGAAATACAGGGTGAGATGGGAGACTCTATTGGCCAATTCGATAGTAATGTTGCTCACATGGTTGTAAAAAAAGTATGCTCACATGTGGATAGGAATGATATCTAAATCTAATAATCACAGGATTTTGAGTCATGATATCAGTAGCGGACTCAGAAATTTTTCATAGGGGTGTCATTTAAAAAATAAATTTAATAAAAATAAAAATAATTAATAAAAATAAAATCGTAAATATGAAAATATCTTACTCGTACAGGTTAAAAAAGTCCATGATGTGTTTTCATATTCGAAAATAATTGTAGAATACACTTGGTGTTTATAGTGTTAAAAAAAAATTCTCTATATACCCTACTAGACAATCATTCAGGAACTTATCGCATATTCGATTTGTAAACTTGTTCTTGATGTAACCCAAAGCTGAAAGACTCTTCAACACTTGTCGTACAATCATAAAATCAATACAAATTAAGGGTAGATTGAAATTAGTTTAGATTGAAATAATTAGAGATAGGGAATGACTTTTTACTATTACACATTGTTCAAAATCGAACACCAAATGAGTTGTAGCTCAACGGAAATTCAGTTTATTAATAATAATAGTGTTCTAGATTTGAATTTCCCAACCTACCATTTATATTTTTATACACAAATGACAGTAGGATAATCATTTTTTCAAATTTCAGGGGTGTCCCTCACTATCAATTTTTTTTTCTTTTTTGTCTATACATAAATTACCACCAGGGGTTGGATAATCATTTTCCCGAAATTTAGGGGTGTCCGGGGACACCCCTAAAACCCCCTGGGTCCGCCCCTGCATGATACTATATTATAATTTTTAATTAGTGAACGTTAGGTTCTAGTTATTCAAATGGTAAACCCTAAACCCTAATATGATGCAAGTAGTTTGTTATATGTATTACGATAAATCATAATCGACGATTGTTCTTAATTAAATTGGTCTTATTGTATAAATGAGACCTAGACTTTAATCTTTAAGATTTAGAGTATAGTACAATGTCTTAAACTCTGCTCAATTCAATGGTATCTTACTTGGTGTATGCGGCACTCCAACTTTTACTCGGTGTCATGTACGCTCGTCGAGTTTTGTTATTTTGACTATAAATTAATCAAAGTTTGGGCATGATACTATACCCTAACCCCCAATTGAGTTATCAATTATGCAACACCTAACATGCTAATTGGGACGGCTTAAAGACAAATATCCGCCCAATTTGTCTTTCTGATAGCGTTTTTCTCGGTCAAATACTTTAAAAACACATCAATAAGGGAACTATCGTCTTCTTCCTCCAACCTTTTCAAAACTCGGAAAACTCTCATCGCACCATCAAAACCTGTCGGAAAAACAATAGAAAACACCCTCCGACACCGAGTTTCGCCTTCTCCAACCATTCTTCTCCTTTCTACGGGGCAAGGAAGATGAAGAGTTCGACGATGGAGATCACAATGAGGAGAACTGCGATCGTGGTGGTCGAAGGAGAGGTACAGGTAGAGGTGGCAGTGCGCGATTGGTTGCTTGCTACGGTTTATGATCAATATGCATTTATCCTTTTTCCCCTAATTTTATGTGTTTTGTTTTTTCATCCCCTACGGCTTATGATCAATATGCATTGATACCGCCATCAAGAACGTTAAATCCAGCTCCAATAAACAAAAAAAAATATTATGGGTGATGGTGAACATCGAGCCGATTTGATTCGATCCAGTGGCGGATCCAAGGGGACCGCCCCCCGGGGCCACGACCCAACCCTTCTCTGCATCCAGAACTAGTATAACACTTGTATATTTTCGAGTTTAGATATTTGTTTCCGTGCTTGTCGGGTTACGACCCATTCCTCCTTTTCACATGTGGCTCAATGCTCTTTCCTATCTTGAATTAGCCATTCGCTCCAATGAAAACAATATTACCAATTTATAATTCTTGATAGTCATTCATTGCACTCTCCAACTTCGGATACCCACCTCGAATTCCCCAAGTCTACTCCCTACTTCCATTAATGCCAAAACATGAATCGGGAAATACCAGTTCGCCAACCAAACAAGTTGACACCATCCATCCCCATAAAAGCTGCAACAACGACTGTGATGGAAAACCACCGGGACCTACATTTCTTAACACACTCACTTGGATTTTTTTACTTATTGCCGTGAATAAAAATTGAAAATATAGATCAACAAAACCATCGCAATTACACTCTAACCAAGTGCTAGTTATTTTTCTTAATCAAGCTCTAGTTAGTGAAGGAAAAATCAGGTAGAAGAAACTACCACACAAACCACCAAGCCAAGCCAGCCACACGTTAAAAAAAAAAAAACACAAGGCGTGCCTGTCTAGTCTACACTAAATCCACCCACTTACTTCCCCCGTCCTCTTCTTCTTCTGTACACACCCTAATACCTGGTTAGTTGACTGACTCCCTCCTCCAGCAATTAACAAACCAGCAAAATTACCACAAAAACCCAAAAAAAAAAAGATTATCCTGTCGCTGAGATGGAATTAAAAATCCATCCAACCACATTCAAAATTAAATTACAGCGACACGGAAACACTCAAGCCGGCGAGTTATGGTCCGGCGGAAGCAGCTCCTTCCTCAGCTTCTGGGAGAATAGCCGGCAGGCGTCCATGCTCAGATCCACGGCCGCCGCCAGGGCGACGAAGGCGGCTGCGTCCTCCGTGCAGTTCACGTGCTGCACGCTCACCTCCACGCTGGGCTTGCTGCACTTCCCTTCCCCTTCCACGCTGCTCCCCATCACGAACCCTCGATACGCGCTGTACGGCCACAGCCCGTACCCGTAGTCGCCGCTGCTCCGCGGGCTGCACGCCGGCGAGTTCGGCGTCGACTTGCCACTCCCGCTGCTGCTTCCCAGGTCGATCACGAACTTCCCTCCTCTGTTGCTGCTCAGCGTCGATTCCGCCAGCACGATCCCGGCGGCGCTCATCCCGCCGCTCGTGTCCGGGATCAGCTCGAACCGGTAACCTAACCCCTCAGAGGCCCCGCGCTCGCGCCACGCCTCGAGTCGGCCCCACGGCTTCCAGGTTCCCTCCCCCGGACGGAGGATAAGCCACGACCCGGGGTTCGACCGGCTCACCCGGTCGGACCCGGGCGAGGGCACAAAAGGAGTCACCATTGAAGCTGCGGCCACCGGTGATCCCGAAAGGTCGTGTACTGTCACTGACCAACCTTTCCGTTCACTAATTGAACGCTCCCTCTGGCTGCCGAATCCGCCCGGGAATCTCCAGCCGCTGCTCGGCTCCGATTGTAACGATCTGCAGGTGAAAATTTTCCGAGAGCGATCAGCAAATTGACTGAAACTATTCTATGATGATAAAAAGATAATCACGTAAACCCTAGGAATTGTCGTAGAAGAGAGTAAATGCAATCCCACTTTCAATTGGATTATGAGGATTTTCCGTACGATTTTTTTCACAGCTCTACTTTTTGAGCGGAGGGAAGAATCAAATCAAATCAAATCTCTAACAACAAAAATATTCAAATCAAGTTGAACTAATAAACTAACCTGGATCTCTGATTCCGGTCACCAGCGCTTCTGAAGGTGAACTTGCAGGTGAAAACCGGCTGCCGGATACTCCCCTGGATCTGAAACACTTGCGGGCTACATTCGGGCTCGCCGTCGAACTGAAACACGAACCTAGGGTCCGGCTCCGCCTTAACATTCATATGAAACTGAGCAGAGGATCCTTTGCTAGCCTCTTTACCGACCGATATCCAGCCGTTGTGGAACACGGATGGCTTGGTCTCAGAACCGGCGATGTCGAGAGGAACGGAGACTTTTCCCAGAAGCTTCCCCGAGCTGAGCCCACAGGTGGTGCCGCGGCGGCCAGTGTAGATGGAGATTTGAAGCTGTTGCAGCTTCCCGGCGAAGAGTGATTTCCCGAGAAGGCGGTCGAGATCAGACTTGCTGAGGTGGAAAGTGGCGGCGTGGGCGAAAGGCTGGCCGTCGGGGAACTGAGCGTTGTCGGCGGGAATGTAAGGGACGACGGCGGTCTGGAAGGGGAAGTTCTTGAGTTTGATTTTGCAGAAGCAAGGGGAGGAGGAAGGGTGGACTACGGAGCGAGCCGGTTTAGAAGCGACAGGGATTTTGAGGGCTAGGTTGCCGACTGTGAGTCGGACGAAAGGGCAGGGATCCATGGGAAGGGAAAAAAGAAAGAGAGAGAAGGGCTGATTGGTCTCTAATTCAGTTCACCTGAGTGGTGGGAAGGGGGAGAACTGGGGATTAAAGGGGGCGGCGGAAGAGAGGAAGAAGGATTAGGAGAAGGGGAGACGAGGAACAGGAAGATGGTTCAGAGGCGGCATTGGCGAGCTGGGTTACCGCCATTGATGCTGCAGAAGCAAATAGCATCATAGTGGTGGTGCTGGAGGAAAGAGAAGAGGGAAGGAGAGAGAGACAGAGGGGTATTAGTTGCGAACAGGCTGGTGTGAGGGTGGGGGGAAGGGTTTGCTGTGCTGTGGGTACAGCTGTGTACAGGCTGGCGATTAATACCAGTCAGTCAGAATGGGTTTGAGGTTTGACGCTTTATCTTCCTTTTTCTCTCTCTCTCTCTCTCTGGCCAGTGAGTGACCTGCAGAAGCAAAATCTTCTGTTATTTAATTTTCCATTTATTAAAACAATTGGTTTTCCTCTCACCCGAAAATATAGATTTGATTTATTAGTTTTTCTGGGATAATACATAATAATTTTATTTATTTCTCTTTTGTTTCGACTTTCGAGTGATTTTTGCTTATGTCCTTTTCGATTTCTTCCCCCCCCCCCCCCCCAACCCATAACTTGATAACAAATTTCTCTAATTGGTTCGTTTTTCTTGCACTAACGTTGTCTTTAGAAATTGTGGTGGTTGAAGCATGTGTTCTACTTTTTAAGTTAAAAGTGATTATTGTAAAAATGTGTTGTTTCACATGTATGATAGTGGATTTATTTCAACACAAATGTTACTTTTGGAGCAAAACGAGTCCTTTGTGGTAGTATGTAGGTTAGGGACTTAGGGGGCGATGCACCAGGTAAGAAAGGATAACAGGAAAAAGATTAGTATTTTGCTATGGTGATATTCATGTTATCGTAACTTGCACTTTTCGGTCGATTTTATATAGGACTAGGTCGACCTAATTCGCTGTTTCAGTTTTGTGAGGTTCAACGACGAGGTTGACCTTTTATAACAAATGGTCGACCTCTTTGGGAAGCGTGAAAAGTCGACCAAAATACCTCATAGGCCGACCATTTTGCACTTAATAGGTCGACCGCATAAGTATGAGGTCGATCACGTGCACACCGTATCCGTATCGGATAAGGATTTCACCACCAGAAAGGTAACCCTAACTTATCTACCACTTAATTCGACTCATTCTCGTTCTAAATATCTATAAATACGAATATATGTCACATTCACCACCACCGAAACTCTGAATTAGGTTTTTTTAATGTTAGAGCTTTTGTGAAGAAGGTCCTTTGTGGTTGTTGATGTACGTGTTGCAAGAGGTCGACCACGTCGAAGGTGAGGTCGACTTAATGTAGCTATCGACGTCATCTTGTCTAATGTGTAATTTGTAATTTGTACCGTTTAATTTGATGTTTTGTTGCGCGCAGAATACCATTCGGCTGACCCTTATCTCAATCAGGTCGACCTCTGTTTGACAATTGCTCAAAATTGAATTTAGGGCACAACACTCAGACTTCTGTACTTGCGAGGTAAGGAAGATCAAACCCATAGGTCAACCTAATGTTTTTCAAGGTGGACCGTTTCTGTTTGTTTTGGTTGTTCATCCTGAATGTCGACTTTGGCTTTGTTTGTAAGACTATGTTTTGCTTTAAAGGTCGGCCGGTCAATCTGTCTGGTCAACCTATTCGTTGTTCGTGGTAATATTACACTTGCTTTTGTTGTTAAATTGGTATTTTCCTGCTTGATAGGTCGACCTAGAAAGAGCAAAGGTCGACCTAAATGGTTCTGGTAGTGACAAATTGTCTTTAATGTCGACAACATAATAGGCCAGGTCGACCACGTCTCTGCTTTTGATCAATTGTACAAAATTGAAGTTGAATTATTATTTGTTTTTTTTAATTGTTTAGACGATGGCGCATGATGAGAGATAACAACACGATTTGGGTGAAATCATGAAAGTGTTGAAAGCGTGGTGTTTATACCGAACAAATTCGTAACAAGTTGATGGATGATGATGTGGTGTTTATGTCGAATGCTAGTGCATGCCAAAAGGTTAGTCAATGTCCCTATCTCATTAAGCTTCCAAAGTGCATTTGTTTGTATTCGCTTTTTATAACATATAGTGAGTCATTCGTTGCTAGATATTTATGTCAGTTCTGGACGATGAAGCACGTCATTGATTTTTGTAGCTCTTCAATGTCCAGCAAAAAATCACATTTTTGCTTGAAAGTCTACCTTCAACTAGTGAGGCGAATCGTAAGTGTAAATCAAACCTCTACAAGAAATTGGTAAGTGTTTCCTATAATTTTCTGACTACTAAGTGTCACGTATTATGCTAGAAGCATATAATATTTGTTATTTGTGTGTAGTGTCCAAATTGCATGATATTTTCAAACTGGAGTGTATGAGCAATGTAGCAGTACCATATTTTCAAACGAAAAAGCAAAGAAATGAAGTCATTAAGTTACAATGTTGCATTATTTAGACATTACGTTGAATTTATATTTGCAAGGTTGTTTCTTTTTGGATATTGAATGTTTTTTGTTTATTAGATTTGTTATACAATTATGGATGTCAAGGAATTTACGATTTGAATCGTCTACTACAAGAGGTCGACCATATAATCAAAGAGGTCGACCTCGTAGGCAGAGCACAGGTCGACCTCGTATGCTTACGGTCGACCTATGATACCTTTACTTAGCTCCTAAACAATGTCGAATAAGGATTCAGTCCTGTCGATTTCGCCTTTAGCAAAAATGGTCGACCTTTCGTGTAAAGAGGTCGACCTAAATGGGTCGAATTAGTTTATTATGTACTTCTCCTTGTCCAATTAGGATTTTGCGTACTTGTCCTTGTCGAATTATGATTTTATGTATCATTGACAAATTGGGATAAGTGTTCTCCATACTAGTAAGGATAAGGAATTCGTCTACATTCTCTATAAACAGATGGAAGTCTTAAGACTTTATTCATACTTCGACCATTGCTGGATGGATAATTGACATAATTGACATATTCCGACCATTGCAAGATGGATAACATAGATGATACAGATGATAAAGATGTTGAATAGATTAACTTCGATGAGGAACTTGAGGATGCTCGAGGAGGAACTATGGATAATGCAGATGATACAGATGATGAAGTGATTGGGGACGATGAGGAAACTGACTCGCATGTACCGTCACACTAGAAAGTGGCCAAGTATAACCACCTACTAATGCGTAGTATAGCAAGTTTAGTTCTAAATGTCAACCCGGTTCCTAGGTGTGATGACTACTCCATGAGATTCTTATTATTTAGCTGTTAACCTGTAGTGAAGTTCCAACTAAACTAGCAAGCAAAAGCAGTAAATGTTGTTTTCCAAGTTCGAGAGAGGTCACCTAGATATGGTTCCCCCTAGACTGCAGTTAACCCAAGTTGTAATTTGCCAAGTTCAGAAGTTGTAATTTGCCAAGTTCAGATTCAATGATAGTTATACTGCGGGAGGTTCTCAGACTGTCTGTAGTCTCGACTAAAGGTCTCCATATCCTCTCTATCTGTGTCTCCAGCGGGCGACTAATCTCCACCGGAGTAAACAGACTGAGGCCCTAATGTACCAAACCTCCTCTACTGGAATAAATCCAGTACATAATAATGAATTGACTCCTCGACTAGAGTCGTCAACTCACTACTTTCAATCAAGGGTGCTCTATCAACCTAGACAGATATTCTCATTCTAGGTCAAAGCAGGAATAATAGAAATTTGAGCAGGATTCATGCAATTCAGAAAACCATGCCTCAATTGAATATAATCAGTATCAAAGAATTCGTACTTGGGTTCCTACAACCAGACCTAACATACAAATCTAGGGTTCTTCATACCCAGGTGAGAAAGGGAGTTTACTTCATAGAGAGTGAAGGGAAATCTGCTTCATATGCGGAATTCATACTGTGAAGGATGACGATATGCTTCTGGTAATCAATCGGCACTCCTCCAAGCTTCCACCGAGCTCCAACGGTGTTGAAGATCGATTTAGGGCACTTGGAAGTTCTGTTCGTCACTTTTTCTCTCTAGGTTTTCTGCTCTCTAGCTCCCAAAATTGGATCTCTTTCTCTCTATGGCTGAAATCTTCCTTTAATCCAAGATTGGGCAAAACACGGTCGAGGACACAACCGTGTTTTGAACTCCTCAACAGTCGTCATGACACGCCCTTGGCAGTAAAAACACGGCCGTGTTATTACTGCCAAGGGCGTGTCATGACGGCTGTTGAGGAGTTCAAAACACGGTTGTGTCCTCGACCGTGTTTTGCAAAGGGTTGCCCGTGTTTTTGCTCCAGCCTCACCGAACGACCTCCAAACGACCTGAAACTCGTTCCTAGCCTTTCATTCGACGCTTGGGACCTGAAATGTGACAAAATAGCACAAACCAACTTAAAATAGGCCAAAGATACACGACTAGGAGCCAAAAATGGATAATAAATAAGGGTGCAAACACATGCAAATACATCGTTATCAAATTCCCCCACACTTAACCATTTGCTTGTCCCCAAGCAAACCAAGTCATACACAAGGTGCTCAAAATATTTGGGACATGTCATATCGGCACAAAATACGTGAATCACACTAGCCTTTAGTCATCAACACATGAACAACCTCAACATCAACCTAGACAACCACCACAGATGACATTTGAGTGCATCAAAATCGAGCAAAGGAAAAGTCTCCCTTCTATTCACCAACCAACATAGACTTGACTCAACCACTTATCCAAGACAGTCACTTCATGCATAAAAATCAAGACATCAGAATCAAGATCGAGCCGTCTAGGTCCTCACCGGGGTTAAGAGTGTAAAGAATAAGGAAATAAATCGCTCACTCTCGACCAGTGGGGTCAAGACAATTTGATGCGAAAAATGCGCATGCTTATTCTCTCAATCCCTAACGTCTCTTCACCATGACGACAACCTCTAAATGTTAGAGTTCACATATTGGGTGTCATCACTAACTAATCCAGAGGTCTTAGACACAGGTTCAAAGATTGGCTAGGGTCTTGGACATGGGAAAAAGGCCTTTTAGGTGGTGGAAGTATTCATAACACAAGGTTCCACATTTCCACAACCAAACACAACCACATTCATTCAAACCCATTCCCTTTTCTCTTCCATTCTACATTAATCAAGTTCTTTAGAGCACAAGAGTGAAGGAGGTTACAATACTGCTAGTGTTCCTAAGCCAGACTGCTAAGAAACACTATCTACTGAGCATGATTCAGATTTTTGGTGGTGGTTCTCCTTTTGCTTTCATTTTTTTCTTTATCATTTTTCTTTTCATTTCTTGAGAGAACCACCACCTCTGCACATTTTTCAAACACATTCCCAACTTTTAAGAACTACTTCCAACCCTCACATTATTTATAGCAAAAATAGCAGAGAACATGCAAAAACCACTATATGGAAACTCTAAGAGATGCAAAAGGGTGATTTTTTTATTGTAGACCGAAAGAAGGAAAGTGACACGGCTCAAAGGGCCTGACTAGGGGGTATGACACACCAGGATAGTCAATTTGGTCGTGGGCTATTCCTATGCCTCCATCATCCTATCTAGTGACAACGTGAATGATACACATCATGGAAGAGGGATCTATCGCACAAGAAAGAAACAAGCAGGCTCAAATCTCACATGGCTACCTATATGCTCTATCTCTCATTTTGATTCCCTGAACTAGATGCATGAGAACCTGTCGAAAATAAGTGATCGCAGTTGGTAAGCAGACAGTAAAAAAAAACTTAACCCCTACACAACTCTACTGCACGTCTCAGACATCATTAACGGTTGTCCTAGGCATAATCAAGTCGTCATGCATAAATTCTAACAGCCATTCGATTCACCAATTAAACCACAACGCCAATATGATCATGCATACATCAGTACTTGGAGCCCTCAAATCTTAAGATTTGAACAGCGAACTAGGCCCCAAGAACACAAAAATACCTTCCAATAAAGACAAAGCACCCCCCCCCCCCACACACACTTAAATGCGACAGTGTCCTCAATGGAGCAGAGGGAAGGGGAACGATGTTACCGTGAAATAAAGATCAGAAACGGGGACTGGAAGGCAGACCAGTCAAGGGAAGGGGACTGGAAGGGGACCAGTCCAAGGGCACATAGCTAGAGTTAGGAAACCACACACAGGGTGAAAACAACCATAGATCCATGTCTACAATCCGAATGAAAAGGAAAACCAGAACCAACAACGTCAGGGAGTCTCAGTCGGGAAAAGAAATGAAGTACATAACCCTCAAATCTCCACTAGATCACATCGCCTCCATCGCTTGTGGGAGGTGGGTAGTCGTCCTCGTACCGTGGTGACTGCACAAAGGGGGAGTGGACCTAGTTCTAGTCCAGGCACAGATAGTGCATGATGTAGTGTTGGTCGGATATGAGACGACGGTCGTGGCCCCGCTCACGATCAAGGCGGGCACGGATGTGCTCCTTGTCATCTAGAATTTGCTCGTTCTGACGAGCATTGGCTGCCAACTGGTCAGCAACGGTGACCGCGGGGGCTGCGGAAGAACCAAGGGCAATATCAGAAGGACCCGCGGGGGCCTGGGTATGATGTGTAGGACGACGAGGGACACGACGCCCCCAACAGCACTCGACTCCGGCCGGTCGTCCCCGGAAGGAGCAGGCACACGCGGCATAGGGAGACCCGCGATCCATGTCAGGCGCCCTTCACCCTCAAGCAGGTGCTGATGTCAGAGAACCGCCTCGCTGAATGGTGTCGCGGCGGGGATCAAGGTCATGCCAGCAGTGTCGACCCCATAGTAGCGGGCCATGGCTGTGATCACCGGGCCATGGCTGGCGCATGACTTGGTTATGGTATGCCCGACAACTGAGCCCAACTCAATAGTGTCCTCCTCCAAACCCATCGCATGCATGAAGTACAAAATCCAAAGGGTGACCCGGTTGGATTAGCCCCGACTCGGAGTATAGGAATAGGTGAGTAGGTGGTTCAGAATTTGCCACGCTGGACGGAGGAGGGTGGCCCTCGTCTAGCTGGGTATGTACTCCTCAACCACGTGCTTAGGTCGGCAGATGCGCTCGAAGTAAGTCTGGCAGGGAAAAGAAGTGGGATCCGCCTCGTCTATGACCAGTGCACCATCGTCGGAGTCAGGGGAATTCAGGCCAAAAGCAACAGAAACCTCTCAATAACTGACAGAGTGCTCGACCCCGCCGAGAGTGAAACGGACGACGTCAGCATGTTCAGCCGCCTTCCACGGCGAATGGGCAAAGGAGGCGTAGAACTCCCAAAAAAGTTCCTGCTAGGTCGGCTCGGCGAGGCAGAGGAGGCGCCGCCAACCATAGGCGCGCACCACGGCCTCCATCTGCTGGCGAGCGTGGCGGGTGCGGATGGTCCACAGGTGGTGGCGATGAGTGATGCTTAAGAGGTCCAAGTAGTTCTCCATGATCATGCACAGCAACAGAGAGCACAAATGCCACATAATGGGGGGGGGGTTAACATTAGGCCAAACCACCCTGGAAGCCCTCAAATCGGAAGATTTGGACAGTGGACTAGGCTCCCGGTGGAATAAACACACAATCCAATCTCAAACATCCATACAATCGGCCATTCACCAAACAAATTCCAACCAAGCATACAAGGGCACAATTCTACGCATGCAATTGGTGGGCCGACAGAACTAATTCAGAGGAACAATTACTTCAGGCATATGTCTCTATCGGCCTACCAAATCG